GGGGGGGGGTGCAAAATCTAATTATTTGAGCTTTATTTCAGGTTATAATGTCATTCCCTCACCAAAACCATATCAGAGAGTTGCTTTGACTCATTCATGCATGTTTGAGAAATCCTCCAATCTCCTGTGTCCATGTGGGGCTGTCTAAACACTTACTGGTACAAAGCTCCGCCCATTTATACAAAGCTCCTCCCTGGACCTCAGTCTGCAGCTGAGCTCCCGCCCCACAGAGCCCCCCTCCCCTGAAGTACTGTTTGAAAATGTGCTGAAGTGGGAGTGTCTGAAACGGTAGGAAGGCATTTAAATGGACTATGATGCAAAGTCAAATTTATTTTTGATTTAGAACAGCTGAAGGTAACAAAGTTACTTGATTCTAGTAAAGAATTGAAATATGTGACTGGAAAATACATAATCCCCTCCTTTGAGTAGTTTTTTGAGGATCTCTAATTTTGCCAAGTATTTTTTCAAAAACTAAATTTTATTTTTATTTGTTTCATCTGAAACATAAAGGTGATACTTTCAATTTTTAAAATGTAACACCTCATTACACACTACAAATTTAAATTTTACTGTACCTATATCTATATATCTGAATCTAAATTGTGTAATTTTACTTTAATTTAGCTATTCAACTAAACTGCTCCGGGGGCCACAGTTACTGCAGGTCAACAGCTGAGGGGCCGAACATCCAGCAATTAAAGTTATTATTTAAATAAACCAAGTATTACAAAGATCTGTTACCTTTGAAATAGTTTATTTTTGCTGTATTTAATCATGAATACAACATACAGAACCCTATAAAAGTAGTGATAATTAAAAACAAAATGAACACATTCTGCCTCCTGTTTAGAACTACTATTGTTTTGACATTTCTGAATTTTTAAATATAAATTTAAAACAATTTTTCTTCACTTTTATAGTTTTATCTTCAACTGCTTGTAATTTTAATTGTCTTGGATGTTCATAGAAATGTTTTTCACCAGCTTCTAGCCAAGATTCTGATGTTTCTGTAGATACCAAACATGTCTATGTTTAACTAAAACAACTTATAGTAATTAAAGTAGAAAATCTGTGGTTTGGTCTGGGGCTGAACTTTGGTCACTGTTGATGTTTAGTTTAGACCAGCCATGAGCTCGTCTGTTGTGTCAGGACTAAACCCTGTTTCTCTAAACAGGTAAATAAAAGAGCTGTCCAAAACAGGTAAGATAATAATTGTTCAGTCTTTTCACAGAACTCAACAGGTCCAAAATATTCCCTTATATGCCTGTGGAGACCAAAGAGTCCCGCTGGAGTCCAGGACAGGATTTGATCAGAATTAATGCAGTGCCACTGAGTAGCAGTGCTAATCAGACGCTAGGCTAACTAGCTTCAGAACAAACAAAGCTCTGTGAAAAGACAAAACACAGAGAGGACAGATTCTATGATTCCTCTCTGCTCCACCAGAACCATAAAACAAAGTCGACTCTACACGAACGCTGTCTTGTTTCTCTTTAGGCCAAACCTATTTTTTCTCCCTCTGACATGTTATTCCAGCAGCCCAGAGGCGAAGCGCCGCCTGTCCCTGCACCAGTCCTCATCCTGCTCTCTGCAGCCATCGTACACAACAAGGTGGGGAAAACAAATGATCCCCGTTATTATTTCCTGCGTGTGTGTTTGCACAAATCCTGCAGGTTTAATGGAAAAAAAAAACTTAAAAAAAAGAAAAAACAACAAAAAAGGCAGCATTTTGGTTCATATCAGTTTGGTAAAGGCAGACACACGATTTAGGTTCAGAGCTGAGCCTCGTCAGAATGACCGGCTGTTACTGGGCCATGCTGGACAAACTGGAAATCTAAATCAGTACAATGAGATGCAAAATTATTCACCCCCTTAGTATCCTGGTTCACTGCCTTACAACAGGAAATTTAAAAAAAAAAAGGTTGTTTTTAAAGAAGCAAAATGTGCTTTTTTGTGTGAAATAAACAATAAATTAAAAAATTAAAAACTCAAGAATTCCTTTGCTTTTTGCCCACAGCATGATGCTGCCACCGCCGTGCTTCACTGTGTGGCTGATGTTCTCAGTATGATTAATGGTGTCAGGTAGGGCTGCAGCTAACGGTTATTTTAGTAGTCCATTAATCTACTGATAATTCTGACGATTAATCGAGTAATCGAATATAAAAAATAGTCATGTTCTGCAGTAATTATTTAAGCTTATTTTATGAGAAATACAATTATTTAATATTGTGAAGGGGTAATCTACACCTGCTGATGACCCTGCTGCATTCAAAGTAAAATTATAAAACCAGTTGTATTAATTCATGCATTTTAAACTCCATTT